ATAGAGTGAAGCCGCGGAAGTCGAAGCGCGAAGTGGCGAGGGTTCACTCTATAATGAATTTAAAAAGCCAATCTCAACAGACACATAATTTGCTCGAAGTGACAAAATGATTGAAATGTGGAACAGATTAGTGGTTGCCAGGGAACAGGGAGGTGAGGGGGGTGGATGTGACTATAAAGAGGTGGCAGGAGGAAAAGCTGGCCACTGTACTTTGATAGCCATAGCGCTTACATAAATCGACACGTGGGATGTGGTGGCAAGGGATGCGTGGTGCTGGTGAAGAACACCGAAAGGAGCAAGGGCTGCCCAAAGGCCAAACAAATCTGTCTCGGCAGTGTATCCCTTAGGAGCAAGGACAGCAAGACTTCGTCTCTTATACTTTGAACCTGTTGTCAAGAAAGACCGGTCCCTAGAGAAGGACATCATGCTTGGTAAAGGAGAGGAGGGTGGCCCTCAATGAGATGGATTGACAATGGGCTCAGCATAGGAACAATTCTGAGGATGGGGCAGCACCTGGCAGCATTGCATTCCATTGTGCATAAGGTCGCTACGGGTCGGAACCAACTTGATGGCAACTAATGACACAACAGACACTCGTGGGTACGGGTGAGGGAGAGGCTCAGCCTATCAACTGGGCCACTACCTGCTGACACTACATTGACGCCATAACCCTTTTCTCTTAGGAGAGACCCTGAGAAAACGCCCTCTCTCTCTGCACTTTCCCGCTTGCCAGGACTCTGCCTGCCTCCAGGGGCAGCCCCCTGTGGGCCTCCAGACCCTGAGAGTCATTGGTGCCCTGCCACCACCAACCTTGGGTCCAAGTGACTCTGTGCTCACTGGCCTGGGATGTTCCTGCATCCCACTTCATCTTTCGGCATCATCGGTCTGCAGCTATGTGAGTCAGAAGAGTGCCCTGGCTTCTAGACTTGAGTTGCACTGGGATACCTTCTAGATAGATCATTACTTCTTGATCGAATGCTCTTCTATGTGAGTGTCACTGGATTTGTTTCTCGAGACCACCTGGGCTAACACATGGAGCATAGAGACGGAACTGGAATGACAACAAAGGAGCCCCTGGGGGGAACTGGGTAAAGGGAATACAGACTGCTTGGGAGCTCAACTGTGAATCTAAGTCCTTTAAAACACAAAGTTGTTTTTGTTTTAAAGGAACGTTTTCAAGGGCTAAATTTGGCCAGGGCAGTTTGTAAGCAGCTGCTAAGTATCAATGGGTAAGCACTGGGATCCTCACCATGCATGTGACTGGTTAGCTTTGTGGCTGGCTGTCAACAGCCGAACAGAAATGGCCGAGATCCAGCGTTCCCAGTTACAAGGCTCCTTACCGAAATCACTGTCGTCATCCACCAGGATGATTTCATGAAGGAGGTGTGCCGGAGTCCGGTCTATGACACTGTGCACGGTCCGGAGCAGGGCCGAGAAGGCTTCGTTGTAGAAACAGATGACAACACTAGCGACTGGAAGGTCAGCCGGGTAGGACTTCTCTTGACATCTACGAAGATAAATAGGGGAAAACTCTGACATTTTAAAATGCTCAAAGGTTTCATATTCAGGCTCTTTCTGACACGATGACAGGATTTCTCAAAAAGCATTTAAGAAAACGTGATTTCTTATTTTAAAAGAGTTTTCAATTTGTGAATCATGTCTCCCTCATATACCTGCCATCTGCTTACTTTTGACTTAGTTTTTTTTGAAAATCTTACCTTTGGTCAATAGAAATATTTCAGTAACTTATGAGACATCAAGCAAAGGTACAGCTGCCGTGTCAGCACTCTGATAAAAAGACTCAGGTGGCTAAGGCTAACTATAGAATCCATTAACTTACAAAATAAAATCCCGGAGGCATCTACGTCCTCTAGTCTCTGTGCCCAACCTTCTTCCTGGCTTCTTGCCGTTCTTCAACTCGGCCAGTCCCTTGTGCAAAGCACAGTTGAGCGGCTCTGTGCTTTCATAAGAAGAATAACTGCCCTGCTGTGACACCTCCCCCAGCCACTCTGGTTTTCTGTGTGCTCCCATCTAACCAACTCTTACTACCGCTCCCGCTTAGGGGATGCGATATAACCTATGTGCCTGCCTTGCTAGGGCTGGTCTTGTGGGCTCCTGTGCTATATCTGACTCTCTTTGTCCGTGTAGGGCCTAATTTGGTGTCTAGCAAGTGTCCAGCAAAGGCTGTCTGGGGGGGTGACTGATCATACGCTAAAAGCCTTAGAAGGGAACACAAAAATAATGAAAAACAACATCAACTCTCACAACACTACCCATCAAATAAAAGCAAATGGCGAGATGAGCGCATGCCTCCCTGGCTTTCATTCCTTTTGCTGTGAAACCAATAATGATAATGATTAAAAAAAAGGAAACAAAAGGTTATTTAATTATATGTTATGAATACCTCCCTCCTCTTTCCCTCATGATTCAAAATTCTAAAAGAGACACCGTAGCTTCAGAATTTCATTAGTGCAACCTCAGGTGACATGGCTTCAAGACTGAGGAGAAGGGTCATCTGCTGTAGGGTTTCTAGTAGCCTGAAAACCGGGAGCCCTGGTGGCATAGTGGTTATGTATTGGGCTGTTAACTGCAAGCTCAGCAGTTTGAAATCACCAGCCATCCTGCAGGAACAAAGTGAGGCTTTCTACTCTCCTAAATAGTTACAGTCGCAGACACCCACATGGGCAGTTCTACCTGTCCTAGAGGGTGGTCATGAGTCAGAATCGACTAGATGGCAGTGGGTTTTGGAGTTGGGTGTGAGCTGAAAAACAAAGCCTCGTTGTAAACTCTTAATATCCTTAGGACTAGGTATGATTGGCACCAAAGGCAGAAATGTTATTCAAAAGTATTAACAGGAGCTAGTAAGGAACATACGCGGCATTCCTTGTATCCGGCACATCTCTATGGTAGCCCAGGCGATTACTAATAAGCAAATTAAAGGCATGTTTCTGATAACCCAAGTCTCTCAACTCCTGATCACGCTCATTAAAAATCATACCTGCAAAAGAAAGAAGTTATGGTCAGTGTATTCAATCTGAACAAGATCGTCCCAATTATTGCTATAATATTACAATCGTGAGAAAATCTTGACTTTTATTCTTTTATGACCAGATAATTACCATGTTTCTCAAATCTAAGTTGCCTCCAATTCCAAGAAAGTGAATTGGGGTTAAGGTCAAATTTTCAGTCTAGTTCAAACTAAGTGTACACTAACCATAAGTGAAACATCTTACTAGCTGTAACTCTTATTATCTTCAAGAAAAAAATTCACCTGTGATTAAGATAAAAACTTATGTAATAATGATTTTTCCATAAAAGCAATAGACTACAGAATCAAATGGATCTCAGCAGGTCCCAATTACAAGCAAATTTTTTAATGAGACGCAGACCACCCACCAAGAAGAGTTCCCAGAACCTGTCTGGTTCTGACTTGAATTTGTCTCATACAAGTAATTCCTCCCCAGACATAATCAAAACCACTCTAAGTTAACATTCCCGTTCTGATATTCTGTTAGGAATCTGACCTTCCTATAGAGTAATTAAGTCTTTTTTGCTGCTCTTTTTTTTTTT